CGTACGAGAGAGAGAGAGAGAGAGAGAGAGAGAGAGAAGGTGAGTTAAGTAGAGTTTGTGATGCCCTTTGCGGCCCCCTCTCTAGTCAAAACATTAGCTCCGAATTGGTGATCCCAAATTGGATCGATTATTTTGAGGCCTTCTAGGAGGGGATCGAGTCAGCCATTGTTGAGTCCGTCAAGCCGATGTAGGTTGAGAAAGTTAAGATGGTGGGATTTTGAAAATTTCCCAAATAAGTGCTTTGGCCTGGGTTTCCAAAGGAAGAGCTGTCGAAATTGAGCTTAAAGGTGCCCTAAATGGGTGGGAACCAAAGATTTGACCTTGGGATTCTATTAGGTCTTAACCTTATATTTTTGACCCAATTGAATTGATGTGGCTCGCCCTTTAAAATTGTCGGTGTAAAAAGATAGTCAATTCTCTTATATGATCGACAGAGAGCCTGATGCATCACACTTTTTCTTGAAAAGTTCTCTGTCCATGTGACCTAGAGTGTGGCTCGGACAAAAGCTCTTCGAAGGAAGACGATGGCAGTATGAATTGTTTCTTTTTTCTTTTTTTTGGTTTTTTTTTGTTTTGGGAGGGAGAGGGGGGGGGAGGTGGGGGGAAGGTGGAAAAGACTTGTCGGATTGTCTTTGGCGTTGCCTAATTCCATTGGAAATCTACCAACAGTTTTTTCCCATATGAAGGTTGCAAAAGTGCAATGAAGACAGAGGTTGTTGTGGATTTCCTCATCCTTGCATACAGTGCGTGGGTCAAGAAGGCTGAAACCTCATCTCTGTTGGTGCACTTGATATGACCAGCCAAGAGAAGGCTTGGACCTTTGGCGGGGTTTGGGTGGGCGACTTTTGATTGGATTCGTATGGTGGATGCGTTGGGGCTGGGGTTAAAAGCTAGGTAGAAGGAACAAACCGAGAGGTGACCTGAGTGCATTATAATCCAAATGATTTTGTATTGTCTATTTCCTTTGATGAACAAGGAGGTAAGGTCGCACATGGATGAAAGCTATTGAGTTTCTAGGTCTTTGAGCGCTCTTCTAAAGTTGGGGATCCATACTATGCATGCCTGGTAAAGTTCTAAATATCGGGCAATAATGGCTCTTGGGTTATTGGCAAATGCGAAAAAGTTTGGCCTGGAGTCTTTGAGAGCTTGGTGCCAATCTGGTGGTCGTTCTCTGAAAGAATGTTTTGACCGTTATTCATCTTGAGTCTCACATTGGACATGAGCGGATTGCGACGAACATTGATCCCTTCCCAAAAGTTGGAGGAGGCTACAATGGAAGTTCTTTTCGGAAACCATACTAGCTCGACCGTCCCATGTTTAAAGTGTATCATCTCACACCAAAGGAGGCTTGACTCCATAGTGAACCACCACCATTTTCTGAAGGGGATTGTCTACAAAGAGACCATGACATAGAGGTCACAATCATTCCCGCTCATTAGATGTCAAATTGGATGGCCTGGGTGAGTCACGATGTTCGAGAATTGTGTTTTGGAACTTTGTGTCTATTCAATGACACTTACAACCACCCATTTTGAAATTTAAGGGACAAAAATGATTGTGATCTCTATGTACAAAAGATAAATAGTCTCTTTGTAGACAATCCCTTTCCCATGTGTTTCTAAGTTGAAATTAAAGTAGAGAAGAAAGCAGTTTGGTAGGATCTAGAGAGAGAAAGAGAGGAAAGAATGTGAAGAGAGAGACAGAGATAGAGAGGTAGATGTGTGAGAGATAGAGAGGGAATGAGAGTGGCATGGAGGTCACATGTTACCCCTACCCCTCTTATAACATTAAGTAATGGGTGTGGTTTCTATAAGGTTGCAACCTTAAACAATCCAAATAAGGTGCACCTCCAAATTTTATCATAATATGTAATTTTAGTGTAAAATATTCTTAAGATTATCTCAAAATCTATTTTCATATCTAATTATAAAATTTTGAACTCCAAAAATAGTTAAAATCAAGTAGATCTATAAACATATGAAAATCTTGAAATTGGACGGTCTAGATAATGTGTTGCAAGGTGCATTGTTTCTGGGACTCAATCTTTTTTCTTTCATATTCAGACACCACGATGTTGAGATGATCAATTAGAAGGTTTTTCAACATTAAAACAACCTTTTTCGATGGATTTTTGATGTGCATCTGTGATTCTACATTTTAAGGTTGCAACCTTATATAAACTTTTTCCTTAAGCAATAACCCTAATTACAATTTATGCACAATATTGCCCATATTTAAAGACACCATACAAATAAGGACTTAACAAAAGATAAATGATAGTTCTATCCATCAAATACAATTATGCTCATTCCTTTTATTTCCAACACTTCCCCTCAAGCTTGTGCATAGATATCAATCATGCTCAGCTTGCTTGTGACATCATGTAATTTGTCCCATCCAACGGCTTTTGGTGAAGATATTTGCAAGTTGATCTTCAGACTTCACTTGAGGGGTCTGAATGATCTTGGCAGCAACCTTCTCGCTGATAAAGTGACAATCCATTTCTTTGTCCTTTTATGAAAAATAAGATTTTATGCCATATGAATAGCTGCTTTATTTTCACAATATAGAGTCATTGGAAGCTTAACTCCGACACCGAAATAAAAAGGAACACTTTTGATCCACATTACTTCACATGTAC